ATCTGGTTCTTTTGTCTAGTGCACTCCCGTTTCTGGGCACCGCCCTCGATGCGGAAAGTGTTACTTTTTTTGTTCTGTTAATCATGGAAGATTGGAAAGACGGTGAGAATATCGCGTCCTCACGGTATGTATGCCTACTACTCCATCGGAAGGTGCGATACGAAGTAAGATGATTCGGGGAATTTGCACGGATCCACCCACCCATTTGAATGATAGCCACCGTTTTTCTTTAATCTTTTTGTAATTCCAACGAACGACTGCCTGGGAATCGCATCTCAGCCACTTTCTAAATAATTGATGGCGCTGTTGAAATCTGCATCGACCTCCCTCCCTGGTGGTTTCTTTTCGATGCGACAGTTGTTCAAAACACAAACTGTCGTGTTTCTGTGTCGCGTGGCCACGTTCACGTGCCATAAATACCCCTCGTTTTATACGCAGAGACTAACAACATCTAGTTGCTGCGGATTCTTCTGCATACTGCCGATCTCTATGGCCATCATTCTCCGTCCCAAATAAAGATTTTATTTTGTTGGATTTTCGAAGCAACATGCATGTTTTACTTCTCGTGTAGTATTCATTCATCTTCCAGTTGTTACACACGTTTTACCGCGTCATCTTCTCGAGAGATCGATCCTTTGTTTTCTGTGGCTTCCAACGTCTCTCAAATGTTTTTCTTAGGCCTCTGCAAACGTAACTGGGCCTGGACATCACATCTCCAACCGATTAACCCATCGTACGACTTACCGACTTTCGGAACTTTTCCGTAGCCGCGCGACCGAGTCGTTACCGTCGCGCAACCTTAAGAGGTTAATTACTGGTTAATTACTCCTCGATTTTCCTAACAAACGACCGTCTGAGAATAATTTGGTGGGTAAACGAAGAGTGGACAACGAGAGCTCTAATACAAATATTAAATCGGTATTCGAACGCAAGTCGAATGTAAAATCATCATCGAGACCGTCTATCCAACTCATCGGAAGAATGATGTGCAAAAGCTATGGATCGGCTCTTCCCATCAGCTTTTGCTTGCTTTCATTTGCAGAAAAGAAGCATTAAAGCCATTCGATGGGAAGGCCTAGGCACTAGGCAGTAAAGGCATCCGAAATGATTTTTTTAATTATATGGTTTCATCCATGACCGTAAAATATCACCGACAGACTTGCTCGTCACGGATCATATAGTTCTTCTCTTCTACCCAGATTAAGTCCATTCTTTGACATCTGAGGAGGGAAAATCTCCTTTGTCTGAGTTTTCCTCAAGGGCTTCGTCATTGTTCACGTGCCTGGAGGCGTCTGAACTTCTACAACGTCCGTTTTATCGATATTTTCATTCTGGTTTTCTTCCTATCAGAAGTGTCGCTCTTTTCATATTTTTGGTTGAATTTATTGAAAAATTAAGCATATGAGTTAGGAAAGAAATAATAACTTTCTGCAAATTTCATAGACGAGAGCAAAATGTTCATGCCATTCGTACCTTCAAGGACAAATGATTTCTCCTCGAATCCAGTTTTTTCTCCGTTCTATAGTTGTGGTTCGTGTCACTAGATTGTCGTCGAAGCTTTTAACTATAAATTAGGAAAGGACTCGATGAACGTGTTCCATTTTGTATAATGAGGAAGGGATAGCCCTGCTCCTGTCCTATTGATCAGCTGAAACAGGTTGTGAAGGCATCTAGATGCTGCTGTGGATTCGTGTCTCCTCATGGTGTAATCCCCATGGTTCCTTTTGCACGCCTCCATCCCTACTTCAGATGAACACAAGTTATGCTGCCGTGGATCATGGGATCTAAAATTGAAAATGTTTTATTAAAAAAGTCTCAAAGGCTGGACGCCATTCATTGGTTGCTGATGTTTCAGACAATTTGCTCGGCTCAGGTAGAAGGCCTTTCCACGTAATGTTGAGGCATTTAAAATTAGCTGCCTGGATCTTCTGACATCCTCGATTGGCTGCCTAACGTGAAAAGACAATGACAATCGAAAGGAACGGTTTATGGTGTTGAATTTCTGCTACGAGTACATAGGGAGACTGGAAAAGAGTGAAAATTTTCATCTTCGATCTTTCCATGGTTGCACAGAGCGCACAGTCTGTCACAGTAATCTAGATCTTCATATCTACCTTGTTTTTCTCTCGATTCGAACATCCCTCCGCGAAAATGACTTAGGATAAAGGTATCGTTCGGTGACAATATATCCAAATATTTTTCCTTGTCTAGAGCGGTTTTAAAAATGTAGGAACGGAATCTATGAAGGGAGTACGGCTCCTCGCGCCTGACGTGCTTGCGAAGACGAGCTCAAAATTAACTAGGACTGACCTGCCTGAAAACTTTTCAGAATGAAGTTTGACCGGACCTCGATGCCTCCTGTAATTCAGAAATTCGATTTCCTGGTTCGAACCGTCTGTGATCAAATGAGGGCTTCATATTCAAATATATTTCTCTTCGTCTTTACAGTAAGTGATGACGAAACAAGCATTCATCCACATCTGCGAACACATGCACGCATCGGTTGGCATCGCAGTCAATTTATTTAACCCTTATCCGATTTCATTCTCGTGGGGAATTTTCTCGTGGCATAACCACGATGAAATTGCCTGGTATTCTTTGTTCATGCTTTTCTCTGAAAATGTTTTTGCATTTATGCAAAATAGAGGGAGTAAATAATGTTTTCCTATAAAGTTTAGGCGTGTCGCTCGATAAGCAAAGGGTACTGAAACTTTTTGCTGGGTTCATGTTTGAGTGCATTGTGGCGATCGACTTTTCTCTTCTAGAGCTGGGTTTCTAAAGTGGGAGGGGCAGGTCTTTTGTGCCTGTGCGCGTGGGGGGATCTCTGTCCTTTGATATCACATGAAAGGGAAAACGACAAGGAGGCAGGCTGGACTGGATAAATAGGAAATGTGAATAAATAAAAATATAACTTACGCCGTCAATAGATACGTTCCCAGCCCCCGCTTCAATTTACTTCATCTTATTTGAGGCGCTGGATAGAATCATTCTGAAAAAAATGAACCCAAAAATCTATAAAAGCCATTCTGTATTAAGATATTTAGATATGGCATCCAATCATTCTTACTTCTCACTTGATGCAACCCTTCTGTTAGGACAGTGATTTCTTGGTTGGGTCACTCATTCATCACGATTCATTCCCATCCCGTCCGCGTCGGACTAGCAACGCTCTGAACAAGTTTCATTTAAATTTTTGTAAACCATTTACTCGTATTTGATGTGGCACCGGGTGACCCTCTGAGTTCCCGACTTTACACGACTACGGATGAAATTCGATGCGAGATGTCTTTAGGAAATTTACTCGCTATCACATATGTAAGTCATTTTACGAAATTTCAAATTAGGTTGGCCTATCTGGAGCCTGTGAACAGCTATTTTGCACGATGTCGAATGAGTCGGCGTCTAGTTGCTCTGTTGAACTTTTGTAGAAACCTGTCCCATCGTGTTGGGAGGAACCGAGGAATCCAGGGTTTGCACACAGGCACGCTCCGTTTTTTTTGGCATCGTGTGGATAAAAGGCTGTAATCGCGGATTCTGAACGGCACAATTCCACTGAATTGTTCGCGTTATCACCTATTCGTGTTGGATGTCATGTCGGGTCGGTTTCCTTTCGTTATCTTCCATGGTGTTACCTCAGCAGGCTTGCGAATATGACATCTTTCATGGTTATCCGATATTCAGCGTGATCCGCCTCGAATTTTCAATGGATTAGAAAGAAGGTGGCATAAAGAGCAGAAGTGACTTTCTCTAGTCTAAATGTGACGATCATGACGCTTTCTGTTCACGCCTTACCCCGCATGAAATGTAACTGATTCCTATGTGAACTTGAATATCTAACTCATCATTTCATCACCAGTTATGATGGATAATCCGATATTTGCAGTCGTGAAACAAGCTTATCTATCCACAAGCTATCACGCTCAATGCTTTCAAGAAGACCAATGCTGAGATAACGCCAGTCACGAGAAAGGCCTACCTCTACGAATCGTGATACGAAACGCTATTCGGTATCGTTTCGGCATTTTATTTTTTCATGAAAGTCTCTGCACGACGACGAGGAGCAGTGGATGATGGCCATTTTTGGGAGAGCCAATCACGTGAAGGAACTCCTTGCGTGAAGCACTGCTAAAAGCTTCCCCCCCCCCAAGTTCCTTCGTCTTCCACGCGACGTACCTTCTCTGTTTTGTAAAACATACAGTTGAAACTTGAAAACATCGAGTTGTACTTTCCAGCAATGCGTTTGTCAAGAACGAAGCCCATTCAATATTCCATCCAGGAGATTTAACACAATAAGGCTTATGCAATGTGCTGTTGGGCCTTTTGTGCGAATTGCACTTGAAAAACAAACGAAATGTGGTTCATGACAGGTCTTGGCAAAAGTTATACTAATGGTCATTATTTTACAAGGTTGATCATGTATACAGTATATAATGTGACGGATTCAGGACTTGTAGTCGTACGTTTTTGTCGTCAGGACAGAGAATAAGAAGTTGTATGACCTTTTCCCCCAAATTCTTTAACATTCCCTGAATCAAAATACGTTTGAAATGGCTATCCATAAGACACAGAGAAGGAAAAAAAAACTGTGAAAGAGGAAGGAAAGATATGCAAATAAAAAAAGAGTTCTTGAAAATGGGAGTTTATTTGTGCCTGTGAAAAGATTGTGCATTTTTATTTTTTTTTTAAATAACGAAGAAACCCCAGGTCCTGACAAGAGCCTTAAGTGTCCCGGCCTGGAAGTGTGAAGTGATCATGTCACCTGGCATTGATGTCGGATTTCTCTATGGGAAACCGTACATGGTTTAAGCAGGCTACCTCACGTTCGAAAGCTAGCCCCCACTAAGAACGGAGTGGCTATTCTTCTCTAATGTACTTCCACCCTGACAAGGAAAGGAAAGCAAAAGGCATTTGGGGTGTGCAGGGAGTGCGGGCAGGAAGGGAGAGGGAAATGGAAATTAGTTGTACCGCTCATGCGCGGGGATAGCAACAAGAATGCTTGGATCGACTTTTCCCAGTCTCTCTCCCTCCTCCTCCAGGGAATCTCTTCTCTCCCTCGCATACCGTTCAGTGTTCGTGTCTCTGTGCGCGCGTCTGTGTCGCTTTTTTGTGTTGCCATCTCATCTGGCTTGCAGTCAGTATTCAGGTACGAACTGATAGAAATTAGGGAGAAAAGGAATAAATGAAAAGGGGAAGGGGAAATGGCCGTGCCGTGACATCGTGCATGATAGATGAGGATTGAGCAAAAGGAGGGATTCATTCACGATTAATCGTTCTCTTCTATTGAGCTCTTGATTCTTCCCCCCTTTCCCAATTATCCACTCTGGAATTACCATTTGCATAGGGATAGGAGGCAATGAAGTTTATGACAGAAAACGTTTCCACCCTGGGCTGGGATTGGGAAGAATGTTACAACTTTGGAGAAAGGGAAGATGGATATACCCCGAGAAATGAAAATTTTCTCCTTTCTATATACAGGAGACGATTCTACAGCACACACACTGGATATGATTCATATAATCCTCCCTCCTCCCCCCTTCTTATCTGATGAGGCCCTTCCCTCACTGTGTTTCCTACTTCCTTAGCCCTTATCCCCTGTTGACTCATTCTGACAGGAAAAGGAAAGAAAGGTCCAAGCATCTCAAGGAGGGTCGCAGGCCATGGAGGAATTCTCGGGAATGAGACGTAATTGCGACAAGGCTCCACTCCTAATCTAGGACCATTAGTCATTCCCGTCTATTCCATTCCTTATTTTCTCCTCCAGGCTTTGCTGTCAACAGTACCTCAGAAAGAACAGAGAACCATCCATCGGGAGTTTTTTTTTTAGATGCAACGATATTGAATTTTTGCTGATATTCGATATAATTATATTCCAAAGTTGAAAATAAGCTATACCGATACCGGTATCAATTTGCGCACGTTCAAGTCTTAAGAATTTATTGCTATGAAGCCATTCATAAACATTATTTGTGTCATGGGAACCTCGCTTATACAGTTTTAGATTAAGGGAAACAGTGGCGTGCCCAAGGGGAGTTATGGGGTCATAACCCCTCCCCTTCCAGTATTTCCAACGTTCGTTATGTAAACCCCTCGTGCACAAATGGGCAGGTTGATGTTGAAATGCGGGAAATTGTACGTGTTGTATCATCCCTTTTGCGCGTACAGAAACGAATCTTACGTCCCATATGTCTTGCACCCACGAACCTCCCCTAACGCCTCGTGTACACTGCATTCTCTCTCCTTCGTCCCTGTTTCATCGATCGATGGAACCATTCGTTACTGCGTGTAACACTTGAAAACCTTCCGAGAATTCGTAACAGCTGCAGTGACTGTCTGAATTCAATATTTTTTCTCCCCTTTCCTAGCACAGGACACTGTTACATGCATGCCCTCGTAGGTCAACCTTGCCAAAGCAAATTTCGGTGACTAGGCCTACTCATGAAGGCCTACTGCCTGCGAGTAAGGTTTCCACGCAGCGGTTTCCTAGTGTTCCACGCCCTCCCTATCGTTTTAAGAAGGGTGTCCTGATCCCTACGTTCACTTTTCGGTAGTCCCGTCATGTCTCCTCCCGCTCGAGAGAGAAGCTTACATCGTGAGCATGGGCCTACATGCCTAACGTTAGGTCTAATTCATCCAGGAGGGAGTTAGCATGACGAACGTGCGAAACAGCGGAGGGAGGGAGGGGGATTGGCGAAGAACTTCGTCTGGCTACGAACCAGAGACCATTACCCTTCGTACATACACCGGAATCAGCATGAATCCCTTATAAGCATACTCATGCTTATAAGGAATGGGGCTTCGCAGCAATCCCCATGCCCCAATCAAAAGGGAAAATATAATAAATTACGTATAATATCTTCTTGTTTGATATATAAAAAAAATGCCTTCATGCATGTTCGACCATCCTTTGACGAATATACTTGAATATCCGTCACTCGCTTTGCATGCTTCACATTTGGGATGATTCAGGTTTCCTTCAAATATCGATTATCGGCAGGCAAAACTCGTATTTGACTGATATATATTAGTGACACTCAATATCGGCCGATACTGATATCCAATCAAATATTCTCGTTTCTCCAGCTTTTTTTTCTGTTGAGTCTGTTACTTCTAACTCCTCATTTACGCAGGAGAGGCATTGAAATTCTCTTGTTATGGAATAACATGAAAATAGCGTGACTGCTTCCCCAAAGCCTCCAGTGTTTGCTTCTCACTCCAGACTCTTCCCCCCCCCCCCAAGTTCCCAAAATGACTTTGAAAAGGAGGAGCACGTTCGTCATGCTAACTCCCTCCTGGATGAATTAGACATAACGTTAGGCATGTAGGCCCATGCTCACGATGTAAGCTTCTCTCTCGAGCGGGAGGAGACATGACGGGACTACCGAAAATGACTTTGAAAAGGGAAGCTGACCGAGATCCATCTCCCCCCTTATTAACTGGATTCACCCCCGTTGATCCATGACCATGGCTGTATTCTGCGGGCTTATCTGTTGCTACTGCCTGTGTTGAATGGCCTATGTACACACTGGCCTAAAAATGACAGAATACCCTCCGTTTCTGTGGCCTGGTCTATTTCCTCGCCATGTAACTTAAGTTGGGTCTCATGCTGACCCAGTTTAATTCCACGTGATCGAGGAGGTGGATATAAACAGGTTTTGCACTGCACCTCGTGGAATCGATGCCACGTCGTATTGCTGCCGCCACCCAAGCCGTAGACGCAACTCATTAGGTCTATTCTGTGATATTTTGGTCAGTGTATCTTTGCAGTGTATCTATCTGTATCTTTGGTGCATAGAGTTGATCTTCCTTCATTTTCTGAACAGATTTGAATATGAGCGACCCGAAAGTGTCGGAGGCCGCAACGAAGATCCAGGCTACATATCGTGGCCACGCGGTGCGGAAAGAGCGCCATGCACATGATGAAGACCCAGGTCAGCATCAACAGCCTTTCTAATTAATAATTTCATTCTCCTCCCGATTTGAAGCATCTAAACTGTACCCCGTACTCCTTCTTCATCATCCTGTCTATCCACATCCATGTATGCTGTTGAGTACGTGTTTACATGTTGTACTGTACTTGGTTCCTTTGTGGTAGTGCGTTGATCTTTTTACGATGGCGTACAAAGATCAACAAATGGCTCTCTCCACTTTTCCTACTCTCTCCACTCGAAAGTCTCCACTTTCGAGTTAGTTCTCCCAAGCTTGGCTTCTCCTGTGTCTCACTCCTTGTTTTCTCGTTGCTTTCTGATTTATGAGTAGAGATTGGCTATTATTTTTGTCGGCTGTGTCTTACTTCTTCCCACTTCTCCTTGCTCATCTTGTAGAGTATGTGGCACTACCTTGAACCATGTCATTCTCCCGATTGATGGTACTGTCTCCCGCATGTCATGAAGTTTATTTTATTTCTATCCTTTCTCGGAATGAGAATAAAGAATCGCTCTTGTGCGTACTTTCTATCATAATCCTGAGAAGCACATGAGGAGACTGTATTGTAACCTCTGCATGACGTAGTCTTTGCCCCTCAATGGAGGATAATAACAAGTTCGTGTGTTGTGCAGAATGTGAATCAGCGTCTTAACTGGACATCTTTCTGAACCTTAATCTTCACCTGCATCCGATGATCCGATCCAAGGTCTTCCTGAATCCCCTTATTACCTCATTAATTGACCAAAAATGAAGTTATACTGGTGAAATTGTGTTTGTGTTACGTAATTTTGGAAAATTCTGCAGCTAGAAGTGTGATACAACTTGTTAAGATGTATTCGTTTGGACTGGATTCTCTCTCTCTCTCTCTCTTTTTCTCTCGCATTCTCTCTAGCAATTACGTGGTGCGGATCAAAAAAGTTGTTTAATCTGACTGGGAAGTGTCTCTCTTGGAATACCAAATATCTGAGTAGTATACAGTATCCTTCTACGTTGAAACTTTGTGACACAAATTCTGAAAAGAAGAGGATAATACAGTCTGGTTTTGTCGGGTGAAGAGTGGACGGTATTATATCCTTGTTTCTGATTGAAGAAAGACTTTCCTTCGGTCTCCTCTCGGGACGGCTCAGAAGTTTCATTAAGTGCAACTGTAGGAGAGGATCACGTATGGGAGCTTCTTGTCATCCAGTAGGCGCAACGGGAGATCATGGTCGAAGGGATGACTCACATCATTTGGCACATGAGATTCCTGATACAGTATGAGGAAAGGCCTATACTTGCTCTTTTCTCTCTCCTCATCCTATTCCGCGATGACGGGCACTTTCACATTTTCGGAAAGCAATATAATGCTTTCCAATGGTGTGCAACTTGGCCTCATCGATGCTTGGGATTAGGAGAGGAAAGGACTACCAGTTTGGAAATGCCTCTGGATACAGCAGGTTCTTGATCCAAAGAAATAATAGAATCGCCATAATGCAAAAGTACGGAATTGATCTTCACATATGACGCATCAATAGCTTAACCTTAGGCCTTTGCAAGCATTATGCGTTACAACACGTAATACTTTTAAACTTATTGCCGAATGAAAACTATGGAATCGGTTGCGCTGGAACCGCATTATATAAGCCGAAGTGCTGTTTACGTGCGAGGTGCAATAAAAAAGTAATGTTACTTGTTCATTATTCATTGTTCATGTTCTTGAAAGTGAAAGTAAATATGACGTTGTGCCTGCTTGTGTCTTGAAGTACGATCATTGGCTGATGGTTCTCTCAGAGTTCGTAACGCTGGCTTGAATTTCCTTTCTTTATTTTACAGAAATCTAAAATTTTCATTCTCGGAATACTGTTTCAATATGAAAGGTTTTTCAAGTTAAAATGAGAGAGTGGTCATTCACGTTCGAATAAACTACGAAAGAGGGCAGAGGTGATTTGTGGAGAGCTGCAAAAAGTTTGTGGAGGAATAGCTCTTCGAAATTGACAAGTTTGTAGGTGAATGAATGATTTCAAATGTGGGAAAGATGAGCACCAGCAGCACGATAGTTTGGACAGGCATACCCAGACCGACTGGGTATTTAAATGCAAATTAGAGAAAATTCAGCCGCCTACCCGTGAAGCCGGGCGGATGTCACGAGACTCATACGGCTGCATAGCTTTTTTAGATTTTAAATCCAAAAGATTTAAGCCATTCAAGATACATGCGCGAAACGAACATGAAAGTGTGGTTGAAAATCTATTTTCCCCTTCCTTTTTGCTTCTAAATTTATTTCTTATTCAGTTCCTAGATGCCGGCACAATCACTATGCATGTGATGGTGACAACATCGTCTAATGAGGTGAGGGCAATGTACGTCAGGTTGTTTTCAGGACAATTCTTGTCTACAGTGAAAGAAACCAGTGTTTCATAGGATCAACGATGAATAACCGTCCTTTGAAACAATAATGGATCGATGGTACGATACGTTCTTCATTTATAGTACTATCTCCTATCTTGTTACAACGGGTGACCCTTTATGGTGCCATCTGCCAAAACTCAAAAAAGGCTACTTTCATTGCTAATTGGAGAAAAGCTCATGAAAACCATCTCCAAGAAAGGGCCAGCCCAAAGAATGAATTTGAATAGAAGAGAAGCCTTGACGGATGAGGCCTCGATGAGATGCAAGCAGAGTACTCGGGAGTGGAACCTTTCCACTACCAGAGCAAGCTCAAGTCGATTTTCAATATCCAACTTCTGAATAATTACTCATGGCCTTGCCTCAGCACAACGAATTTGAACTAAATTTCGAACGTTTCCCATATATAGTATAGTCATTGTTCAAGGGAAATCCTATATGAAATTGGCAACATTGCCTCTGCCAATAAAAAAAAATGTTCAAGACGTTCAAAAATCCCATTGCATAGGGATGAAAGATTGGTTAATCTTTGCTTGGAAAACTTTTGATATGAAGGAAGAATTGAAGGGAATTCAAGATCAAGAGAGTGAGAATCTAATTTAAAGTGAAACATGATAATCCCTATGAAGAACTCTTCGCACAGTGTATAGTGATTTCCAAGTACAGGTATATTATTTGCAATGTGAGTGCATTGCTTCAAAGAAAATGGGGGAGGGGCAGAGATTGCTGGGCGAACGGGAGAGCCAAATGAGAATTTCGTTGCCATAGCAATGACGATCACGTATTCGCCCACCCCCTAACGGTCCTGAAGGGAGTGTTGTTCCCAAAGTCCAAAGAGGGGAGGGGAGGGTGGAGGATGGAACTCCTGCCCCCCCTCCTCATCCTGCTGCGTACCCCCCCCCCNGCCGCCCCCCCCCCCCCCCCCCCCCCGGGCTTATTCCATGGTTAGGCCTGTTCCCAGCAAAAGTGAAGTACTTGACCGATGGAGATGGCTCGTGTCCTCGTCCATAGGACATCATCAGTGAGCTGGTGGGATTCACGCCTTAAGCCTCAATAATATGGACCGGTTAATGCCCACTTCCCACTTCTCCGACAAGCATGGACTTGGATGGAGAATGCCTGCGCCTCCTGCGTTCTATCTCTTCCCTTCCCCCCGCCCTCTCTTTTGATCCGTCCTTGTGTTCCGGCGCTGGGTATCATGATTGGGCAATGTCCAATTTCCAAGGGAAATCTTCCTCTATGGTCTTTCTCGTCGCATATCAGGAAGCTATGGATCGAGAGGCAATCCGATTGAACGAATCGAACTTGATAGGAGCAACGCTGTATACGGCAAGAGAAATCTCCGATACAGGATAAAACTCGCATATCGGGCTCGATATGGCGTCAACCAAGAAAGGACATTAACGGACGATCGATGGATCCCATATAGCTACATATCCGAAGTGTAATTTCGATAAAAGCCCTTGATGGAAGAGAAAGAACAGAATATAATTGAGACTCGCAAAAAGGCATCTCTTTTCGAGGAGAAAACAAAATAGCAATATGGAAAAAGAGAATTCATCTTCTTTCGTACTCAAATCAGTCAACGCGGAGAAGGATCTAATCTCACAGATGAGAATGAACTTGCAATCATCTTTGTTTCCTCTTCCCTGATGGAGTGAAAGAGAAAGTGGAACGCTTTCAATTTCCCATCTTGAAACAGGAAAACCACGGATGCTTGTCGCATTTTCTTTACCGAATTAGTTCTGACAGCTCCTAGGAATCAAGAGCATTATCATAACTCCTCTTGTGCAAATGGCAACTTAAGCCAATTAATCTTCTAGCTTCACGGCAATCTCTTTAGACACTCGAATCGTGCTCTGGGGGACGGGCCCCGGGTGCACTACCATTATAGCATTCAGTTCTCAGAAAGCTCGAAGTGAACATTTTCTCCGTTAACAAGTTTGGCGACAAGTAGGGAAATACGGTTGGTACCAAATGATTCGCCACGATATCATTATTTCAATTAACTATTTTCTAGGCAATGCTTCATGGATTGGAAAGATTTCAGGTAATATAAGGCTCGATTCGAAATGATGTGGCCGAATAGGGATGACGCAAGCATGGGGGAGAAGAGAGTCGAGAAGAGGCATACGTGTTGCTCATGCTTCACTCTCCCTTGGTCATGGGTGTATCAAATTTCAGAGCGGCTTCCCTTTACTTCATCTGATGTTTTTGAGGGGCTCTTCATCTTCATCTTCTTTGTGAAGAGCTTCATGACAGCACTCAAAATCATTCACTCTTTCAATAGACACGTCCCTGATCTACCGGGAAAACATGTTCTGCTATTGAAAGCTATTTCTTCTGGAGATGGACTGAAATCTGTATGATGGTTATTACTCTACAGCATGTCCTGCGACGTTTGAAATTTCGCCGAGAGCAGTCTATCCATACTTTGGTTCCACGAAATATTTATATCAATGAAAAGCTCTTTGGTATGAGACAGAAGCAGAAATTTATATTAACATTTTGGAATCTGCGCGAAAAAAAACTCCAACAGAAAACGCCTAGTGTTACATGTAAGGGATAGGGAAAAAAGCATAGAAACTGACATTTTCACCGATGTCATTCGCTCTTTTCC